TAGCTCAATATGTCTACAGTGGTACCTCGGGTTAAGTACTTAATTCGTTCCGGAGGTCCGTTCTTAACCTGAAGCTGTTCTTAACCTGAAGCACCACTTTAGCTAATGGGGCCTCCTGCTGCCGCCGGAGCGCGATTTCTGTTCTCATCCTGAAGCAAAGTTCTTAACCCGAGGTTCTATTTCTGAGTTAGTGGAGTCTGTAACCTGAAGCGTATGTAACCCAAGGTACCACTGTAATGCCTTAGTAAGCACTACACCAGAGAAGTGAGACTGAAAGTACGGGCATCTGTATGTTCGTGAGTGAAAGGGGTGTGTGCACACTTGCATGAGTGAACTTTGGTAAGTTGAGGGAAATACATCACATCAGTGCCAGCCAAACTAAACCATTCCTCTTCCATTAGAACATTCTAACCAGACTATACATCTACATCTACATCATCATCATCCAAACCTTTGGCTCTTTCACTCATTATATCAACAACACACATTACCCCTCCCCCAAAAAGGGATAACAAGAATTAATTAGGAGTTCCGTGCAGCATGGACAGGTTATCATGTTTTGCACAAAAAACATTTCAGTATTAAATTCAAGGACATGATAAAAGCAATGCATGGGTGTGCTACATTAATTGTTTTCACAAGATACCATTGCAAGCCCCCAATTTTGTTTTCATTTGCTTTAGCTACACTAGCCTTCTAAATAACCAGACATTTACACACAGATTCTTACTAGTGTGGCATGGCAGTTACCAGGTCACTTGACAGTGTACTGAGGTATCACAGGTGATTAATGAGCTTCCTTATAATAGTTACTGTTTATGTGATGTATCTCTTGCCTCCATTGAGACAGAAGGAATAACCACCTGCGTGAACCTATATAAAAAGGTCTGGACATCATGAATCCTATTTTTTCTTCTGTTTCAAAAGCTCATGAAGGGACTATTTTAGTAAATGACTTTTGCCGCTTCTAGATAAAGGGGCTATCATTTGAATGCCTACTTCATTTGTACAGTCACAATCAAGAGCTTGTATCTGCACATTTACTTCAAAAGCAAATGCTTTGATGGGAAATGGAATTTCAGGTAAAATACAGTACTCTTTCTGCATGACATGGAAAAGCTCAAAAGCAGTAATAATAATAATAATAATAATAATAATAATAATAATAATAATAATAATATACCCCACCCATCTGGCTGGGTTTCCCCAGTATCTGAAGGGAGCCCTGCATAGGGAAGCTTTTTAAGGTTCAATGTTTTATTATGCTTTTATATATGTTGGAAGCCACCAAGAGTAACCCAGTCAACCCAGTATGTTGGAAGCCACCCAGGGTACAAATAAATTATTATTATTATTGTCTTTCATTCTTTTAAAAAATACCAAGAGAAATCAGTCCAATAATTGCCCACAAAGACTACCTCCATGCTGAGCTGTTATTCTACTTACCTCAAAGCTCAGTATGATACAGAATGCAGTTCCACACAGAGACAAATCATGGGTCAGCATGTGATGACCTCAACATTTTCCTGCACTGTATCACTTCAGCTGTGGGACAAGGAAGTCCTAGGTACTAATCGGTCTAACCATATAACTCACATGACAGCTTTGAGCAAGTTAGTAAGATGTTGCTGGATGCTACTCCCCACACATGCATGCAGTTCACATGCTTCCTCACTCAGTTCCCTCACAACATGTAGAAGTGAACGTCAAAACTGCCATTGGACAGAGGTCACTCCTAACCCTGAATACTGAAACCATTATTTCCCCAGGAGAGGAAAACAAACATCTAAACAGACTTATTCTGTGGCCTAATTTATGTAAAAGGATTGTTAATTTCACTGTCATTAAAGAGTTCATTATACAAAATAAACCACAGTCTTATAGAAATGATTAACAGTGCAGACCCCAGCTTCTCCTAATCCAAACTTAAAACCCATCTTCCAATACAACCCATATATATATATATATATATATATATATATATATATATATATATATATATATATTAAAAACCCTTTTAATTTTAAGAATAAAAGTAAAAATCTTGATTTAGGGCTGTCATCTTTGCTCATGTTCTTTTTTTCTTTTTGCAAGGAGGAGTAAGAATTGAGGAAACAAAAATAGTAATGCAACTGCTGATGTACTTAATTCAGTCTCCAAGACTCAGACATGGAGAGAAATCCTCCAGTTCAAAACTAATGACATAACCAGCTTTCTCCCAATCTGATGCCTTTCAAGTGGTAGGATGCCCAACTCCTATCAGACCCAGCCAGCAAAGCCAATGGTCATGGATTATAGGAGCTGTAGTCTAAAACATATGAAGAGCACAAGGATGGGGAAAGGCTGATGGAGGCCATGCGTACTCAAGCCTCCGCATTGCCTCATTATACAATTCCAGGTGCTATTTTAAAGTATGACTATGAAAGTAGGAGAGATAGAAAATTATGAAAGGCTACGTTAGATAGTCATGTACATCCTAAGAATTATATTTATTAACTCTCCTGAAACCTTAAAAAAGCACATTCATGTTATTCCTGCACAACTTTAGACTGCTGCAACGTTAAGAGTGGAATCCACTGCAGACAACCAAACAAATTTAAGGGCATTTTTAAACAGGCGTGTATTTTACTATTTTCTGCCAAATTTGTAATGAGTGCTCTATGTCCATCCAGAAGTTCCTGCTCCTTAGACTTTATCCAAAAAAAACAGAACAACTGTCATACTTTAATGGCAAATAGTAAAAAAAACCACTGCTATCAGCAAAAAGTAGGAGACCTTAAAAGATAAAGTTACACATACTAGTTGAAGTTTTGTCTATTATAAAATATCCTCAATTTCAAAGCCCAAGGGTTTCTGAGAGTGCAATTCCATAGCCTCTGGGAGCCATAGGATATTGGATTGCACCGAGGAGGACCACTCTTGGAGGACCACTCTTGGGAGTCTCTTAGTGAGACTGTGGAAACTCTGCAGCCAGCACACAACAGCAGTAAAAGGGAAAGGGTGTCTGTATGGGAAGCCCTCCCATCCCCCAACACACCCCTGGAAAAGCATGCCAGTCCTAAAGCTGGTTGGTGTCCTTGTTTTCCCTCCATCTTCCCACAACTTCTGTGCTAGCCAAAGATCAGTAGGCCTTTGGATTATCTTCTACCACAGATTCTTCCTTCCCTGGCACCAGTAGATTTTTTTTTTTGGTCACGACTAGAAGTAGCCCAAAACAGAGTTCTCTTAAAACAAAAAATAAAAATGCAGGAGATACAGAAGTCTTAAGCAAATCAGGAGTATGGATTCAACGCTTTCATACCCAGCTCTTTTTCCAGTACCCACACAGTTCTTAACTAGTGAAATTGTGTGTGTATAATAATAAATAACATAATATAATATAATATAATATAATATAATATAATATAATATAATATAATATAATATAATAATATCACCATGAATAGCAGCATGTATTTTACTCAAGGTGCTGGAAAATATAGGGAAAAAGTAGAACCGCAGATAGTATTGTTTGGAAACGTATTAGAAAACTGTAACACCACAAGAAGCAAAAATTGTATTGAGTCTGGTTTCAATTTCAGCAGTGTGGAGGAAATCATAGGTTTCAGTCATATTACCATGAGAGAAGAGGATATTCTTTTAAAAATGTTTAAATGAATTGAAGACATTTTAATCATTAAATAGCGCTGGTGAGATATACAGAAATAACCTTTTCCACTGCCCATGCCTGCTAGTGCTGGTGGGAGTTAGAGCCCAACAGGTTCCCTTATCCCTGAGCTAGACCCACCTCACTGCTGGCAAAAAGCCCCAGAGAAGTTGTCCATGAGGGAATGTGGTCCTCTGACTGGAACAGGTTACCCATCCATAAGCATATAAAAGAATATGTTTATTACCTGTAAACCCACCCTCTATTGAAGAACATTCAAAGTGTGGTAGACGAGGGATAGAACAGCGATAGAACAGTGAATATCATACAAGAAGGGGGGAAAACACTGAGAGGGAAAAGGGCAGCTGTGCACTGTTGGGAGGGGTAGAGTGCAGAGACAAGGACGTTGGACAGCTCAAAGGGTTGAGGGCTAGCAAGTTCAATGAGCATGCCTACGAGGGAGGAAAAAAGAAGACAGGGTACAGAAGTTGAGTAGCTGGAAGGGGACAGAAGACCGTGTGGAATGAGAACTAGGAATCTAAGAACAATGGGTGGAGGAATAAAAGGCTAATGCATCCATCAATGCAACCACATACCTTCTTGTGGTACTGAGCATGTAAACAATTTTCTCCTGCAGAAACTGTAAAATCAGAGCGCACTGCCAAAAATAATTCACTATGCTACCATACATGTTAATGTCTGGGCATATTAGAAGTGAAAAATCCAAATTTACCTTTGAAAGGTAAGGCCCACATTTGAAAAAGGATACTTTCTAAGATAAACATCATAAACTTAATAGGGAGGCCCTACCTTGCATACTGCTTTGATTTCTCTAGCAAAGTGATGTACACCACAAAGTGATTGCACACACCACTGGCAATATGTTATGTTCTCCAGGAAAGGCCACCCTACACATGTCAATTCAAAAGTAGGTTTTACTGGGAGGTATTTAATGTAGCACTATGACAATCATTCCATCAGCCCAAGCATTTCAGCTTGCCAGACAGAACGATCCCTCTTCTCCTCTCTTCCCTGTGCTATTCTGGGGGTTCTTTCAACACACACACCAAAGCCAATGGGGGGGGGGCAGGAGGATATACACTGCCCTAGCAGGTCCTTGTTTGGGTTCCCATGAGCGTGGCTCATTAGCTGAACCTGGCACATGGTGTTCAATTGGGCTTACTCCCTAGTAAGTGTGTTTAGATTACAACCCTTATTTTAGCTGCTTAAGATTTAATTGTAATACAACAAAACTGTGAATATGTTAAAAAGGAAGCAATGCCTCAGACACATTTATCCTGCATGTTTTGTATAATTTACTGATTAAGGCCCTTTTTAAATAAACATGACTCACTGTTTGTTTTCTTCACCAGGAGGTGGAGTCTTGCCATGCCCTTCCATTACAAAATCCTCATGTTCCATCTGCGAAGGCAAGCATTGCAGGTCAGCATTGATGGAGCAAAATACATTTTGTCCAAAGTGGCCCTTTTCCCTATCAGAATTTATCACCAGTTTCCATTGTTAGCTCTAACCAAGAGATTGCCATTTGAAGTTTAACAAATGCACACCCCACGGTCATATTGCCACTATCATGGTTAGCACTCACAGTTACAATAAGCCAAAACACGAAGAAGAAAGTTTTATATGTTGAAACATGAAATGAGTAAATATGGGACCTAGATTCTTTACTTTTTCATATAAGGGCTTCCATATCTTTATTCTGCATAAGTTGTATAAGTTGATTATATACACTGAGATGTGTTTTTCTTTATTAAAAATCAACATTTGTCCGACCATTCTAAATTTGGCATAGAGAATTCTCCTCAGTGAAAAGTCTGAATTTCCCAAACTTAATTGGACACAATAGCCAGATGAGTATCATTTAAACGTTGGGGACAGAAGGATTCTTTCCTCTAGGAATAACCCATCTTCTTTTATGAAGGCTTTAACATCTGCCCAAGCGATTGATGCTTTCAAAACTTTAAATGTGTTATTAAGGTTTGCCTTTCATTTAGAATTTAAAGTCCACTGTGGACTTTCCATCTCCCATGCTATACAACTATATTACGCATGCTCGGTGGCAACAGTCATTATGGGTGGAGCAGTGGGTGTCAGGAAATTTGATTCACACTGATATGGCCAAGGTACTGTGTCACCCCAGGAGAGATTAAAATGTTGCTGTCATTCCCTCCCCTCATACATAGATTAGAAAGATGCTCAAGTAGGAATAGTGAGGGTTTAACAAACCTTGCTTTGGGGACACTGGCAGAGACTGAAAGCATATGGGAAAGCAGAGGCTGGGCAACAGTGTGAGGAGAAGCTAGTGTGGGGAAAGAAAAATATGGACATGGAAATGCTCTCTTGTGAAAGCGTGAATTTTTGACACTATTTTTGCAAATAATTCGCAGAACTTCCACAACTTATGATGTGGCTGAAGGCCACATCCTGCCCTGGCATCCAATGTCTAGTTCTCACTGAGATGGCAAACCTGTGTCTGGTATACATCACTTCAGACTGCAAATAAAGACTCAAATAACTGAATGCTTCTCCAAACAAACAAAATTTCCTGTGGGTAAGAAACTAGCTAGAAACCTTAGCACTAACATTATACAGAGCTACAGGAGTAGCTGCATAATTAAGGCATTTCACATTTTCTAGTAAACTACCAATCTTTTCCTTATGAAAACTGAGATTGGTCACATCACTATTTTTTTTTAATCATGGGGCATCTCTTTGGTGATGAGTGTGTACTACCCAAATTCCAGAGTTTAGATGAAAAATGGCTGAAATACAGTACACCAGCTAAAAAAACTGGAACATTACCCATCACTTGGGTGTGACTACCAGTTTGTTTTTGCTGGTTAAGAAACAATGTTTCAATTTAACTGTTAGGAAACCTAGATGACTCTATGTCCCTTCCAATTCTATGATTCCAAGTCTCCATCCCACAACGTTTTCACCCTCCACGGTTAGTGTTACATGTTCTGCAATCTTATTAAGCATGAATAGAATTAAGATTGTAAACTCTGGCTTCCAACTAATCATGACTAGCACTGGCTTCAGTGCATCTGGCTATAGACAAGAGATGATGCAGCATTACGCTTGCAGCAGGACCATGTATTTGTTCACAGATTTGTAACTGTGTGCTTAAGTATTTGATAGGGTCTGCTTTCAGAATAGACATGATGCAGGGATAGGCAAAGAGGTGTCCTGCAGATGTTGTTTGACTTCCAACTCCCATTAGGCCCCAGTCAGCATGGTATGATACGAATTGTACTCATCAACATCTGGAGGGCATCATGTTGGCTACTCCAGTGACTTAAAAGATTTAAAGTATTTTTCTACTTGGTTGTTTCTGAAGCTATTTACATGTGCCGCCTCTAGGGCTGGGTATTATGATGTCCAATACTCCTGTACAAGTTATTAGAATTCCAAAATTCAGTTTTCTAGCAAACCGAGCCATATATTTCAGCTTTTTACCGTGTCCAGAAGTACCTTAACAGTGGTGTTGCCAGATACTTAAAAGACTAAGGGCACAGGTCCATGACTCATGTGCATAAAGTATTATGCTAATTTATATGCTTAGATGCAAATTTTGGCTGACTTTCAAATGGGAAAAAACTCTTACTCTTGAGGTCACCAAATGTTTTGCACTAGTGCGTACACTGAATTTTTAGAGGGTTGGGGGACCATTCACAAAATGGTTGCAATGGGGAGCATATTATAACACAAAATTACAGAAACAACCATCCCTGACAATTTTATTCCATGTCCTGCTGGTTCTGAATACTGAGAACGAACACACACACAGAGATGCTGCTGCTGCTGCATAACAACAGGGAGCATTACTCAGTACCAGGAAAACTATACAAGGTAACTACACCTCTCTCATTTCAAATAAATCACTATACCCATAACTTACTTTCTAGGAAGGCTACAGAATTACTTTTTTAAAAAGGAGATATGATGGCCATCTTCAAATATCTAAAGGGATATCACATGGAAGATACAGCAAGCTTGTTTTCTCCTGCTACTGAGGGCACAACGTAAACCAATGGCTTCAAGGTACAAGAAAGGAGATTCCTAGATAACATCAGGAAGAACTTTCTGACAGTAAGATCTGTTCAACAGTGGAATGTGGTGGACTCTCCTTCCTTGGAGGTTTGTAAGCAGAGGTTGGATGACCATCTGTCTTGGATGCTTTAGTTGACTCTTAATCACAGGGTTGTAGGTTCAAGTCCCACATTGGACAAAATATTCTTGCATTGCAGGGGGTTGAACTAAATGACCCTCAGGGTCCCTACCACCTCTACAATTCTATGATTCTATAATTAAGACATACATGGTAAAAAAAGTCACCAGTTATGGGGTACATGAGGGCATACAATTAAAGAATAAAACTAAAGAATTACTGGAAATAAGGGTTAACAATATTTCTTCATCTTCAAGCCATACATGATTCATAATAGGCTCTTCCTTTTCTGATCCAAGTAGACTAATAAATTCTACAAATCCCTTACCTTTTAAAATTTCATCAACTATTTACTCTCCATATTTCTCTAACCGCTTCAGCCCAATGGCATTGCCAGAATTCTTAAAACTGAGGAGCCTTTGCTTTAAGTATGAGCCTAACACCTTGCTGGGCTTTAGAGATAAGCTCTTATCATCTCCAGACATCCACTGTTTGGTTGTGCAACATGAGATGGCCAATTTTAAACTCCTGTCTTGCATAACCAATAGGAAGACTGTCATTACTTGCTGCTTTACAAATGTTAGAATCCAATTTATCTGAATTCACTTTAAAAACTTATTATAAAGATGAAAGAAACCTGCCATAGGTCAAAGAATAAATTAAGAGTACAAATGTGGCTGTATGACTATTATCACAAGGGGTAATGCAGCATATGAAATACACCATATCAGCTTTTTCTTTTAAAAATTATTTAATTTTTCTGTGTAAGTTGCTTTGAACACCAAAGAGTAAGAAGTCTAAAATTTCAAAATGGGCTACTTCCCTTCACTTACATGGGTATAAATTATTTTGTGTAGACCAGAACTGCATTGCTTTACACTTTTAATGGCAAACCATGGTCTGGCTAATTACTCTTCTCCCACCTTGCATTCTTCAATTCACTCACTTACTTCTTTGTAGAAACAGGCAAAGTTTTGAATTCTGCAAGCCATAGTTTATCTACGTTCAAACTATGGCTTCCAGTTCTGTTTGCAGTTAAATTGTCTTCCCAGTTTAAGATACAATGATTTATGCAAAGATGTGTACTTAGGTTGCCCCCTCACAAGAGGAGGATACAGTGCACAAACCTGACACTTGGGCACAAAAGTGGCAGAAACTATGGCTTCCCTTACATGTGAAAAGAACCATAAAGTGCAACCAAGTTTTAAAAGTCTCTATGCATCAGATGAAGGGCCATGGGCAAGTACAGTATTCACTCAACTTTCCTATTCAACAAATAGTATTCATTTACTTCAGGAATGTGCACATCTACACAGACCACTGTAGGAGACTCCACTTTTGGCCACAATGTTCCCTGAGGATATTCTACTGGTCCTACTTAAAACCTAAGCAATGGTTATGTAATCTCACAATAAGCATGTGTCTTATTTAGTTACTACCATCTTTCGAGACATCCTAGGCCAGTGTTTCTTGAACAATAGAGCTTGGGTCATTTCCAGGTGGGCTTCAGTGTCATAGCCTGCTCAGTGCCCCCTAGCTCTGCCACAGTCAGACTAATGCCACCGCCTGCAGGTCCTTGCATGCTGGCGACCAGAAAACAGAGAGGTTCCGGCAGAGAGAGGGATGGAAGGAAGGAAGGAAGGAAGGAAGGAAGGTATCCCTCCTCTGAGGGGAAAAGGAAAGAGGAGGTGTTAAAGGAAATAAGAAAATAAGATAAACATTGACATGTAATAATAAATAAGAAAACAAGCTGGGACTACAATGGAAGGGAGTTAAAAGAGGAAAGCTATGATGGGAGGAAGAAGTGAATGTAAAAGAACCAGGGAAGAGGAATGAAAAAAATCTCAGAGGCTGCTAGTCACAAAAAGGATGGAGTTACAATTTGGAATAACAATACTAATAGTAGTAGTAGTAGTGGTAAGTATCCCACCCACCTGACTGGGTTGTCCCAGCTACTCTGGGTGGCTTCCAACATATATAAAAACATAATAAAACATTCAACATTAAAAAAAACACAACTTCCCTATACAGGGCTGCTTTCAGGTGTCTTCTAAAGGTTGTATAGTTACCTTATCTCCTTGACATCTGATGGGAGGGCGCCAACATCATCACTTTCTCCTGCTATCTAACCCATCTTTGGAAATTGCTAAAGTTATTTGCCACATTTCCTCATGGAAAGGAGTTTCCACTGCTCACTTTTACTCAAGCTAAGCATAACATTTCTCTGGAGGTATTGTGACAGCCTCCCTATTTTAGGCAAAACATGCTGATTCCAGAGGCTCTTACAGATTTTCCCTTTCCACAACCACATGCCTCTCAACCCATCTTTTATAATTTGTTCTCCCATTCTTCTTTCACAGACAACTTATACCTTTTCCTTCCCTTCCCAAAATACCCCTTTTCACTTGTCTCAGGTGGACTACTGGGGTAGAAAGGCGTAGGGTTCCTGAGAAAACTAGTACAATCATACCTCAAAGTCAAACGCCTTGCGAGACAAACGTTTTGGCTTTCAAATGCCGCAAACCCGAAAGTGATTGTTCCGGTTTGCGAACATTCTTTGGAACCCGAACATCTGTTGCGGCTTGGTTCATGAACATTGTGGAAGTCAAATGGACTTCCAGAATGGATTCTGTTCAACTTCCGAGGAACGACTGTAATAGGTGAATAGCTGCTGGGCAATTTGCTTACTATTACCAATATGCAATTGTGTGCTTGGGGGGGGGATATTAGGCAAGTTCAACAGTGCACTCACTTTGTCCAGGGGCAACTGCTAAGCACAATAGGCCTGGCCAGTACATCATACAAACCAAGGGTATGCCATAAAATGAGCTTCAGATTTGTCACAGAGCCACTCCAACACATTTGGCAGAGAAATAACATAAGAATGGTTTCCCCAAGAGCAGGAAATTATATTTATTACCTTATAAAAATATTTATATATCAGCCTCTCATAAATTGCTTGTGTGCAGCAATATAAAAACATTTTAAAACAATTAAAATGTTTTGCTCTAGGCTTTATCAAGTACATAGTGAGATCATCACCCTACAATATTTTAGTTTATGTTTTTATCATACCCTTCCCCCAAGTTCAGTGTGGTTCACATGGCCCCCTTCCCTCTCCATCCCCATCCATTTTATCCTCACAATAGCTCTGTGTGCATGTGTCATTAGCCAAAGGTCACTCTAGTGAGATTCATGGCCAACTGGAGATTTGAACCTGTATCCTCCAAGTCTTTTTTTATGTTTGATAAGAACAGATCTTATAAAACAGGCACCCCCAAACTCAGCCCTCCAGATGTTTTGGGTCCCAAAACATCTGGAGGGGCCGATTTGGGGGATAGCTGTTATAAAAGTTTTTTGGGGGGGAGCATGTTAATGTGAACCAAGTCGTGAAGCAAAGCAGCTTCCTATGTACTCTGGTCAGTATCTTTGGAGATGCTTTAACAATGAGAGGATTTACAACCTAGTTTCTTTCCTTTCCACCAGCCACAATAGCATTAATAGCGAAAGGGTTTCATAAAAAGTGTTTGTCTTTTTCTCCCATTACAAACACAAGACTAACAGAAACAAAACATTTTTCCAGCATGAGCAAAAGAAGCACAAGCCAACTCATCCTTGTGAGCCCAGAGGAAACAAAGCCCAAACGTAAAGTGGCCAGCTTGACAACTGATTGATTCCAAGAGGTTAGCTAGCTTGGAATACAGTGGTACCTCGGGTTAAGTACTTAATTCGTTCCAGAGGTCCGTTTTTAACCTGAAACTCTTCTTAACCTGAAGACCACTTTAGCTAATGGGGCCTCCTGCTGCCGCTGCGCCGCCGGAGCACGATTTCTGTTCTCATCCTGAAGCAAAGTTCTTGACCCGAGGTATTATTTATGGGTTAGTGGAGTCTGTAACCTGAAGCGTATGTAACCCAAGGTACCACTGTATATCAAATAAAATCAAATAAGAACTGGATTGGATCACTTCAAACAAATATTACTACAACACTTTTACTTTAACAAATGTTGTACAACCAGGGCTTCTTTTCAGCAGGAACTCACCGGAACAAATTCCGGCACCTCTCATGTGGGCACCGTTGCCATTCTAAGAGAACAAGGGAGGTGAGTTCCGGCACCTCTTTTTCTAGAAAAACAGTACTGTGTACAACTATGCCTCATTCATCTCAATAACCAATTATAAAAATTTACCTTTTACTGGGGCAGAATGTAATTTGCCTAAGAATCTGAAGAAAATTGCTGAGCAATAATTTAGAGTGCACAACTGATACTAAAATCATTCAACATAATTGACTGCTCTGGGTCTCTGTAGCAAGTATTAGCAATTACTCAGGTAAAGCTCCAAAGCATACTGAAATGCAAAAGTCCATGTTCAGATATAAAAACAGTAGGGACAAGGTTGGATGATGAACGAGTTTGCATGTGCATTCTCCTTAGCTCCTGTAGTATCTACATCCCATCACTGCGCTCTTTCAGTACCACAATCCATTCAGTGTTATCCAAATTAAGGTAGTAATGTGTTTATCTGATTGTGGGAAAGGCCATAGCTCAGTGATAGTACACACACTGCACAAATTACAGTACTCAAACACTTCCAGTTATAAGATCAAGTAACAAAGCTGTAAAAGCAAGAATGGATGGTACTGGCCCAAATGGAAGAGTGCTCAGACTCCATAAAAAGCAGATTCATATGTTTAGTGCCAATACCATACTTCCAATATTAATTTTAGCCAAGCAATTTGCTAGATATCTGTAGCAAGTAGCAGTTATCCTCAGATAAGTGGCTATGTACACATACATAAATGCTTGCATATCACCTCACACACTTGAGCAGAAGGATTACTTGTAAATACCACAAACAAATTGCACATGCCTAGGCTGCAAGCAGAGCACTATGCTTGCCAAGCTGGGAACCAGCACCATGACAGCTGCACTAACAGGTCTCAGTGTTCTTGCCTTTAAACCTCTGAAGAATGTGTGAAGGCTCCACCTCCTCTAGTCTTAAATAAAACTACTATCACACAACACTTAATTTCAAATCACAGGTAACAAGTGGGCTATCAGAGAACCATAGGTGAACACTGCAAAATTTGCAAGCAGGAGTATAACACTTACTGTTAATTATCAGGGAACAGTGTTTTGTGATTGTGTTGGTAGCCTAATATGAACTGTTCTTCAACCTTTATCTAGACTGAAAAGGCTTATTCAGAATACAGATTTATGCTGCTGCATTTTCAAGATGGGCTACAGTTACCAATTCAAACAGTAGCTGTAATGAATGAGTTTTACACACTTTCCATCAAGTACTTGTTCAACAAAACAGTAATAATTTGTGACATTTGCAACTTAGCTAAAACTAGCTAAACTAAAGATATTTTATGTTACCCTAAGTGTTACATGAATTGGTTCAAATTAGTTATACAGTATACACTTCTTCAGTAGATAAGCTTCTTAAAAGGTTGATTTAAGTCAGTCCACAGAAATTACTAACCAATAAAATATGTCTAGTCTATACAGCCCTATAGTATTTACAGTTCATCAGTGGTCTAGAAGGAACACTCAGCTCTTTCCAGTTTACAAAATCTTCCCTGCCCAACTGCCTAAATGCAACATTTTCTTGTCACAAGCAACCAGGTGAGTGACTATTTACATCCCCATTTGAAATGTGTATATTGATCAGGAATAATTGCTGCATAAAGATGAGGAAAGACTCCAAGATACAAATATTCCCATGGAAACAATATTCTTGTATTAATTGCCACATTTTATGGTATTGTTAATATCAGCACTGGACTAAAATAAGACTTTGTATGTATTTAATCTTTATCAATACAATGAATTACATCTGGAAATATCATGTACATGTTTCAAACCTACATATTCACAGTAATAGTTAATCGTATCAACATTTACCCTAGTCTCATTCTGTGAATTCACTAACCTTGGAACCAGCTTCCGACAAAATTTCTCCCTCATCAGTTTGCATGGGAACAGAATCTGTGCAAAACTCTGCTGAAACACGAAATTCTGCCTAAAAATAAATAAAATGAAGGATGTTATAATAAAATAGTTGGAATCTGAAATTTTATGAGTCATACTGCACATTGTAAATACTGAGGATTCTTAGGCCACTAAAAAAAAATCACCCAGATTGCAATCAGGTCTCAGGAGTAAAGGCACAAGGGGCCCAGACAGGCAAGTGGGGAGAAACACACACATAAAGTAGTTTGGAGTTGGTAGATGTAGTCTTTGGAAAGGCTAGTAGTTATTCACTCATCTGCCAATCATATGGCTATTTCAGATTAAATAGTTTTAAGAAAGAACAGGTAGCCAAGGTTTGGGGGAAATGTCCTCAAAGGCCAAATTAGGACTCATGCCAGGCCTAACTAGGCCCCCATGCTGGAGAGTGCCAATCCATGAACTAGAGGATAAGGAACCCATCTCTAATGCCTACTGTGCTGAAGTCTCCAAATGCATACAACTCTCTCCAGTATTCAGTTATGCCACAGCTTTTCAGCTGTACAAAAAATTATCAGAAGTCTCAATGACTGTATTACTGAAAGCATGTTTATACTGGCAGTAAAAAAAAACTTTTTTATCTTAACATGACATGCTTAAACTGTACATACAAAACTTCACATGAAACAGGACAACATAAAACACTTCTCTAATAATAGGCATTCTGTGTGACTTCTCTAGACCATAATCAATGTATCATAATTCCCTGCAAAAGAGAGAGTGTATTCCCTCAATTTCATGACTTACGGTATGTCCAAAGATCAAACAACTGTTCTGTACACCTTTACCTTCTCTACCCACCTCTGCCTTCTACTAACAGTACACTTGTATTTTAAACAGAAGTTACCTCGACAGTTTCTCAGGGCTGCTGAAGCCCGAAAGGACCCATCCTGGCTACATTCAGTGCAAAAGTCAAACCACTGCAAAAAAAAAATTGAAAAAATTACTATTATTCAAAGCACATAAGCATGACATACAAAAATTCCTCTCAAGAAACAAAGCAACATAAGCAATCCTGGTTGCTTTTTTTGCAGTTGGTATTTTTTTACACCTGGTAAAGATGACAGGAAATTCAAAGTCTGTAGTTAGACTTGATAATCGAAAAGAAATATTGCATTCCAACACTGTCTTACAAATTTGTATAATAATGGAACTGGCTAAAATGCATTGTGGCTGTTAAGATCAAACATTTCCACAAACTCAGTAGCGTACTAAATTATACTCTGCAGCACCTAATCACCAAAAGAAACCAAAAGATGGTAACCAGAAAGTCATAGTAGGAACCACTAACATGCAGTTCTGCAGCCTGACATGAATGGAAAGCATCAATCAAGTTGTAAGTTTAAATTTTTCTTCCCAAAAAGTTACCTTGACATACATTTGATTCCAAAGAGGACTGGCACTAAATACATATTTGCATAAGGGAACATGTTAGCTTGTAGTTAAGGGAAATGGCAAATTAAAGAACATTAACATGTTTCAGGGGAAAGAATATATATATTCAGAGACCTCACTTCAAACCTCTACACCAAAGAGGCTGCAGATTACTGCTGACAAGCATTTCAGATTTTCCATCAATCAAGCTTTCTGTGTAGTTAAACCCATATTAAAAAGAATGCAGGCATACTACCACAGTGCTGGTCTGGGTGGCTTGATTTCTGATTTTAAATATGAAATGAAAATGGAGATCTATTTCAAGGTGAATGTTCTCACCTGTATATTATGCTCAGACATAGATTAACATTATTACATACTAGCAATAGTTTCTTTATGAGATTCACACTAATATCAAGCACATGTGGTATATGTTAACATAGCATATGAGTTAAAACATTTTAATTTTGAAGAACAGCAAATTGTTCAGCTATAATGATTGCAGAAAAGTTTGGAAAACAAATACTCTTGCCTAATGCAATGCAACAGCAGCATTTTGTTAGTCACTGGCAGTGGCAAAGCATATACCTGTGCTGCCCAGGGCGGGCGCACTCCTGAGGGGGCGCAGCAGGTGCCCTCCCATGTGCCACAGTTCAGGGTAGGAGAGGGGCTGGGAAGCTGCTGCTCACTCTCCTCCTGCTCTCTGCAGCTGGGTCAAACATGACCCGGCAACAGAGCTGCTGCCGCCGGATGTGCCTCACCATGGCTGAGGAGGGCTGCTGCCGCCGGGCACAAGGTGTGCTGCCCACTCACCTGCCATTTTGTCACCCCCCTGTCATGACACCTGGGGCGGACCGCACCCACCACACACCCCTTCCTACGCCTCTGGCCACTGGAGCATAAAGATAAGTGAAGGCAACTAGAGTGGTTGCAGCACTGTCCAGTGTTTTCAAGCCTGTACAGGTAGTCACTATCACATATGAATGCAGAATCAATTTTATGGTATATGCCACTATATTTTCCAAGGTGACAACTTGTTTCAGAACAGCAAAATGCCTTCTATCAACTAACTAACATATTTAAAAACAAATTTTGCATTTCCTAAGGAACTTACACAGAGGCTGGGAATGACTGCTCTAAAAACAGCAAAATAACTGGAGCTGATGACAAAAAATGGTACACTCTCTCATGGTAGCCACTATTTTTTATAACAAAGTAACAGGGGCTTAAAACTTAAACCAAAGATGGGGAACTTTTTTCAGACCCAAAGTTACATTTCCATGTTGTAAAGGTGTTGGGAGCGGCATTTCAGCATATGATGAGGCCAGACAAAAACAATCACACACCATTACTCCCCTTACACACACCATCCTTCTGAGTCTCCTCTTCAGCAAATCCACACAGATAAGCTAAGGTGAGTATTTTCATCCCCATATGAAGTACTAGATATGCTCACCAGAAATGAAAAATCATGCACTCTCCCCTGAGTAAGTCAAATTATATTTTTTTAAAAGTGGTGGGGAATCCTTTGTCTGCTGGTTGATAGGTAGGACTACCCCATCTGGCTTGCAGTCACCTTTTCACTCCCCCCCCCCCAGCAATTAGGGGAAATTGGAGTAGAAGCCACAATGTCTGATTAGCTCAGGCTCAAGTACTATCTCTTCTCTGGTAGTGTCACAGGGAAATTGGAAGCTTTTAAACTAACCACAGTTTATGTTGAAAGGACAGTTGAGTCACTAAAGTGTGAGACTCTTAATCTCAGGGTTGTGGATTTGAGCCCCACATTGGGCAGAAGATTCCTGCATTGCCGGGGGGCTGAACTAGAAGACCCTTGGGATCCCTTCCAACTCTACAGTTCTATGATTCTATCATTATATCCAAACCCAGACAAATTGATCAGTCTGAACTTTGGTTCAGGGAGAATCAAGTACTGTACTATATAATGGCTACCAGGCACCTACCTTTCTTACAAAGTCATACAGTATGGAGGCCTATGGGCTATGCATTATCCACATGCTAGTTTTATCCTGTATTTATTTATCCTGTGTTTATATCCTACCTTTCTCCAAACGGCTCAATGTAGCATTCAAGATTCACTTCCTCTCCCTTTTATCCTCACAGCAACCTTGTTACTGGCCCAAGGTCACCCAAATGAGCTTTATGGCTGAATGATGTTCTCAACCTTAGTCTCCCAGTCCTAATCTAGAACTTTAACTACTATACCACACCAGCTTTTAGCTGAGGTTATGTGCACTCACCAGAAGTGGATACATGAAGAACATCCAATCTTTTCTCTTTCTCCAGCCTACCACCTGCAATATGAAGCACTTAGGTCAACTAGAAGTCCATCCCCAACTTTTACCATGATTAAGGAATGTTTTGGTACAGATTGTAACCATGGTTAACACTAACCAATGTTGATTTCACAGGACCCGTCTGAATGCTATGAGATATCCTCAGTGCAAATTGTGTCCCCTTACATACGATGCTAACCCTCATACTAATGGACAGGCACAGCATTGTTGTTAGTCAATGCTCTACTTATGCTAGGCAATGAAAGTGGTTTGTTCACAAAAAAGAATTCCGTGATTAAGAGAACTTGATAACATCAACATCACTATCTGAAAAAAGCAACTTACTAATCAACTCCATATTACTTAGCCACAAAATTCTGGTCTGGCCTTTATGGACATGCAGGAGAAGAAAATTCTGAAGGTTTGGGGGTATATTAACACCTTTCCAGCCTCCACTAATTTTGCCACTCCCCGCCCCATATCAGAATTAGCAGGGTGAGAGAAGACACTGCTCTTGGCTAACCTATAGTGTACATTGCAAGCAATCCAAATAAAAAAAATTGAACTAATAAGATTTTTTGGTAGCATTATGACACATATAAAAGCGAAAAAGAAAAATTACTGGATTTATACTCCACTTAGAGGAAATTGTCTACAAAGTAGCTGATAATATACCAAAGTAATAAATACTGTATTACAATTTTAAAATGAATAACTATGATATATTTTGTTTCCATATAGTAGAAATGTCATTTTTAAAGCACAAGTAACATGATGAACTCCTGCCAACCTAGCAGTTCGAAAGCACGTCATGTGCAAGTAGATAAATAGGGACCGCTCTGGCAGGAAGGTAAACGGCGTTTTCGTGTGCTGCTCTGGTTCGCCAGAAGCAGCTCAGTCATGCTGGCCACATGACCCGGAAACTGTCTGCGGACAAACGCCAGCTTCCTCGGCCTATAGAGCAAGATGAGAGCGCAACCCCAGAGTCGGTCACGACTGGACCTAATGGTCAGGGGTCCCTTTACCTTTTAACATGATGAAAGCAGTATTTATAAAGTTAAACTTGGATTGCAGGCACAAATGCTGCAGAAAACTCTCCTTATATTCAGAAAAAATACCCCAAATGTATTATCCCAATTCAGAATAGAAAAAGAAAAAGGTTTTACTTCATAATAAAATCCCTAGGTCACCTAATTAAAAAAAAATAGGAACCCACCAAGGGTATGCAACTATATGGACTCTGAAGGAAACTGAGCAGGAAAACCAATTATACTAGGATAGGCATTTCCTTTTAACACTACAGTACTTTTGAAATAACATATAGTAGCTGAAAGACAAGAGTGCTGCACAGAATCTAACAAAGCTCAATGTAAATAATTAGCATTACTTTGGAGTAATCAGAGAATAAGACTACCATACCACTCTGTGCCCACAGCAACATGTTCTTAAGAGTTTAGATAACTTCAGTGAATAAAGGTTATGGCCTGATTTTACCCTGAAATGTGGATTTGAAACAAAGTTCCATCACTGATGTTATTTCTCAAGAGCAAATAAATGTCAGTTTTACTCTACTACCCATGGCATTGGAAAGGCAGGTGAGGTATGGCAAGAGCAGATCATTGCCTCCAAGTTTCCAGTAGCTCCAATTCAGTCCTGATCAGTACACAACACAAAACACACAGCAAAATGTTATGCACCAGAAATAGGGTTCTCAGAGGCGCATTACACCAGCTGTTCCTTCATCTTTAGAAAGAGCTGTCCTCACAACACTTAGTACCAAAAAAACCCCCAAAAAAACCCACCACCATTTCTGACTCTGCTATCCCCTTCTCTTGCCACCTATTTACACACTAGTGTTAATCCAGAATATGTAGCTTCACAGTACCTTGTACAGTGGTACATCGGGTTAAATACTTAATTCGTTCTGGAGGTCCCTTCTTAACCTGACACTGTTCTTAACCTGAAGCACCACTTTAGCTAATGGGGCCTCCTGCTGCTGCCGCTCCACCGGAGCACGATTTCTGTTCTCATCCTGAAGCAAAGTTCTTAACCTGAAGCACTATTTCTGGTTTAGCGGAGTCTGTAACCTGAAGCATCTGTAACCTGAAGCGTATGTAACCCGAGGTACCACTGTAGCTCCAATTCAGTCCTGATCAGTACACAACACAAAACACACAGCAAAATGTTATGCACCAGAAAGGAGGTTCTCAGAGGCGCATTACACCAGCTGTTCCTTCATCTTTAGAAAGAGCTGTCCTCACAACACTTAGTACCAAAACCCCCCAAACATTTCTGACCCTGCTACCCCCTTCTCTTGCCACCTATTTACACACTAGTGTTAATTCAGAATATGTAGCTTGATAGTACCTTGTATGTTAAACTATTTCCACGGGCCTCTCTCAATTAAAAGGCTCTGACCCTGCTAAGGAGTGGGCACCCCAGGCAAAACCGCAAGTCAACAGTTCTAACATTTCTTATCCGCTTCAAATATTATTATGCCAAATGAGTTACGCTCGAGGTGGTCATCGCCCCTTGGGTGGAAGAGAGCCCCACTCACGGAAGCAAAGGAGCGCAGAAAGCAAGAGGCTGCCAGTCGGCTGTGTTTATTTATATCTTTTAGGATCATTTTTCATCCTGCATGGGTAGAGCTGGGGCCTGCTACAACCAGCGCTGCTATAAATAAGCCTTTACGGCAACACTCGGGGTACTTGGCTGTTTCCACCCGATCTTGACTGGTTGCACCACAGAACCCGAGTTTCCATCCCGAGTTATTGGACGGTGTGAGGGGAGAGAAAAGACAGAGAAGAATCTCACCATTAGCTCGGGTTGGGGTCGGAGAGAAAGAAAAACTCTCAAGCCCCGTTACCCTTTCAGGTCGTCATTATCCGAGGAGCGAGTTTCACGTCCCACTCCAAATACTGTATACTAAACTCCCCTTCTGCTCCTCCACCGCCGATGCCCTCAGAGAAGGAAGCGCCACTGCGCAGGCGCAAGTGAAAGCGCTGGAAAACCTTCTCCTCCCGCCGCCCCCCCCACCGGCGCCCCGATCCTAAACAGCCCCAAATTCATTTACCCAACGGAGCTCCTGCAGCTACAGCCGCGAAACTGGAACGAGAGAGGTATCCCCAGGAACCATCATTACCTCAACACACGTTATTATGATAATAATACTAACAACAATGACACCCTCGGAGCTGAGAGACAGCTGGAGGGGCCCGAAGGAGCCGTTCGACCCTCTGAGGGGATTTGCGGCGTCTTCTGAGAGGAGAGCGAAGAGGCCTCGCCGTTCACCCGCTCCAGCAGCCTCGCAGAAGCGCGCAGCGGGCCCCCGAGGCCTGCCTCGCCACTCACCTACGAGGAGCCGCAGCCGTCGCCTCTTCGCCCGCAGCGGTGCACACGGAGAGCCCACCTCCTTTCCACGGGCGCTGCTGCGGGAGCCGCTTTTCCCGCCCGTTTTACCCGCCGGGGAAATCCAGCCGCCAGATACAGAGATCAAAACAAATGGCGGGGGGAGGGGGGGTCAACCGCCACCAAAAAATAAACTTTCCTCGTCGCCGCCGTCTCACTCCCTGGAGGAGCACGAACCCAAACACATCGGGACCCGCCCTCAATGGCCGCCCATTGGCTAGCACCGCAATAATGTTAACACTGATTGGCGAAGTTACCTGGCCGTCTCAAGGCGACCTGCCCCCTTTTCCATCCCCCCTCCTTATTTCCCATTGGGCGACTCTTCAACCATCTCAAGATGCATTAGTCACAGTGGCTGCATATCAAGCAAAGCTCCGCCTCATAAGTTTATGATAATAATTGGACAGCATGAAAGCCACCCGACTCCTTATTGGTGAAACCAGCTACCTATGCTGTTTTAACTTGCACTCCTCTGCTTTCTCCGCCCTAGCTTTTTTCCAATTGGACAAAACCACAGCTCGTCTGGTCAAGTCACGTATTTGTCCCACCCATATTGTTCCTTACTGCAAGGCTATTGGCTACATATTTCGTCATTACAGCCGGCCAATCATGGCCACCGAATTCGCATCGCCGTAAAAACGGAGCCGAAAATAATAATAAATATTTCAAAGCGCGTGCGCTTGGTCTTCGCTCCTGAAGATGTCAATCAATCTTAAACCGGCTAATCGCAGATCGCGAAACCTTCGGTACAGCCGAATCGCGTACCTCTCTGGCCTCAAGACTGGAAACGTCATTGGTCGCCTAGGTGACCAGTTTGACGGGGTGGGGCTAATTTCTCAGAAGGCGACATGCGATTGGGTAATAGGCCACGGTCCCTCAGATTGCCAAGAACAGCCCCCGCCTTCTTATAAATTAGGGAGGGGGGTAGAGGCAAATACTGTAATAACAAGCCAGGTTTGCGCAGCCGCAGTGCCCGGCGCTGTGCGCAGTTGGAGTACCACGTGAGTCCTTGAGGCTGGTGTTCGCACGTGGCCTTGGGCTGCCTCCACGTGACGGTGACAGCCGGCGTCCATTTGGGTGACGGTGACGCGCTGCCTTTCTGCGGATCTCTGAGGCGCCTCAGCCCGCTTGGTCCTTTCAATCCCCGTATCCAACCGTGGAGCTCTCCCTTGGCACGGGGATGACTAGCTACGTGCCGGTCACCCTCTCCATAGGACAGCCTCACTTAGTGCAGTACTTAGTCCTGCCAAACTAGCACATAACCTGCAGCGACAACAATTAAGAATGCTGAACGATGATGGGAGAGGAAGTAAAATTCCTCGTGATATTTTAATTTGTAATTATTTATTCAACATTTGTCACTAAACAACTCTAATGTGGTTTTACATAAACCAGCCAAATATACGATCAATCACACCTCAGTGTCCAAAACCGGCCTGGTTTATTAACTACATTTTTATCTTGCCTTTCCTCAAGTTAGCTGAAGGCCACGTGTGGTTCTTCCCTCATTTTTTTATCCTGGTAGCAACCTGGGAGGAAGGTTCCACTAATCGGTTATGACTCTCAATAAATCACTCCAATCTTAGTTTGACACGCAAACCACTGCACACTTGCTTGTATATTATTATTTTATTAACCATCAAAGCATGTGACACTTTATGGAGAACCAAGACGACAGGCAGGAGTGCTGCCATAAAGTTGGGTTGTTGTTTTTTCTGAAAGGGCAGTAAAGCACTGAAAGGAAGCATGCTATTTTCTCTGAGAATAGAATAGTGCCTGTATGTTTTGTTCATATGTCAAGTGCTTCAAATGCAAGAAACTTCCTCTTTAAAAAGCTGGGCGTTGTGGTTGTGGGGGCAACCCCCACCCATGGCCAGTGGCTCCTTACAATAACAATTTCTCTTCCCAGTGGGCTCACAATTTAATTTGGGTGAGCAGACTTCAGATTTGCAGGATCTACTTCATGTGTGTGCTTGTTTTACTACAACCCCCAAGTTCCAGCAACCAGAGGCTAAACTCATAAATTAGAATTAAAGAATTCCCATGAATATCTTTTTAAACATCAGAAGTAAATGGAGCTTCAAGTGCTGCCACATTAAAATCTATCCATGGTTACCCCCATACATTCTTCACTTTAGCAGTGTTATTAAAGGGGTGCATGTCATTTCTTGCTTTTATTATTAAACCACTGGGATTCAGAAATCCTTGCCAATCTTCTGAAAATCACCCAAACTTCTGAAAACTCAACCCAGATCTATATTCTGCCCACTCCTGATCTAAACATCACAACTCCAGTACTTCATGGTACTACCATGGCAAAAAAGAGAAGAAAAAGAGGTCCTCTTGATTATTGTATAGCATCCCTCCTGCCCTAAAATTGAATTAAGTTCACTTAGAGGGGAGCTATGGGGCTTCAGATTTATTCAAATATATTTCTGGAATAAAGAAATGTTTGAAAGCATGCATAGGGCACTCAGGGGATGCCAGCTGAATTGTCATAATGAACACCTGGAGAAGAATAAACAAAACACAGGGTAATTACTAGATACCAGTAGAGCTGGAGATTTCTTTTCCCTTTTGAGGTCCTATTGAACATTGTTGGCACTCATTAATTAATGTATCATTCATTCGCTCTGCTAAAGCAGTGCTTCCCAACCACTGTTCCACGGCACACTAGTGTGCCGCGAGATGTTGCCTGGTGTGCCGCGGGAAAAATTAAAAAATTGAATTTTTTTTTTTAAAGTCAAATTTTCGATTGGGGCGCCGTCACTAGATGACCCCTGGGGTTCCCTCCCTCCCTCCCGCTCTGCGCCTCCCTCCTCCTCCGGGGAGGCCCTTCCTGGCTCTCGGCCAAGGCTTGGCGGCTGCCACTCACTCACTCGCTCGCCCACCAGTCCCTCCATCCCTGCACCCGGCCTCTCTCTTTTTTATTTTTGCAATGCTGCATCCGCGCCGGAGGGGACGCATCAGACCGCGGGAAGACCCCTTGGCGGGCGTGCAAGGCAATGCATGCGTGCAGGCGTTGCATGGAGTGCAGTGCAATGCAATGGCAACGCGGCGCCCTGCATGCATGCATGCAACTTCCACCAGCGCTCCGGACTTGGCAGGTGAGGAGGGTCCCCAGTGGGCGGCAGAGAGAGCCAGGAGGGCGAAGGGGAGCCGGGGGGGAGCAGCGCTGCTCCCCGAGCCGAGCCCGGGGGGAAACTTCGGCGTCGTTGCGCCGGGTGTTGGAAGCGGAGGCTGGCGGGGGCCCCTCACCTGCAAAACCTGGTCGCCTCTCATATATTTCGTGCATTGCATTCATCGCCTGCTTTCTCCTCCAAGGAGCTCCCGGGGGCGTGCGTGGTTCTCCCCGTGTTATCCTCGCAACAACAGCCCTGCGAGGTGGGTCAGGCGAGTGGCCCAAGGGAGCACCCAGGGATTGTCCTGGCCAGGTGGGGTGATTTGAACCCTGCTCTCTGCCCGGTCTTCGTCCTCATTTAGCCCCCACATGTGCATGACTGTGCATGACTGAGGTTTTCCCCCCTCGTCTTGGCTATGGTGTGAGTCTGTGCTGTTAATTAATGGGGTTCTGCCTTCGGAGAAGATGAGCCAGCCCTCAAGGAGGTGATTATGTAATTTGCTAGCAATTCATGTCCCTCCCGGCGTGACGCTGTGCGCTGACGTCACGGGGCTGTAATGGTGGTGTGCCTCGAGATTTTTTTCATGAAACAAGTGTGCCTTTGCCCAAAAAAGGTTGGGAAACACTGTGCTAAAGGACCTGTTAAATACCAATGACATTTTCCTTTTCATTGTTGGTGGCAGGCATTAGCCAATTTGTATCTAACATGCTGTAAAACAGGGGTCAGCAAACTTTTTCAGCAGGGAGCGGGTCCACTGTCCCTCAGACCTTGAGGGGGGCTGGACTATATTTTTTTTGGGGGGGGGGAATGAACGAATTCTTTTGCCCCACAAATAACCCAGAAATGCATTTTAAATAAAAGGACACATTCTACTCACATAAAAACACGCTGATTCCCGGACCGTCTGTGGGCCGGATATAGAAGGCGACTGGGCCGGATCCAGTCCCCAGGCCTTAGTTTGCCTACCCATGCTGTTAAAAGTCCCTGGTTGTATAGGTTTATTTATTTCCATGTTTTTAATAAACAATCATGCATACATTTTAATATTACGGCCTCGGTCCGGTATACCTGAAGGAGCGTCTGCACCCCCATCGTTCTGCCCAGACGCTGAGGTCCAGCGCCGAGGGCCTTCTGGCGGTTCCCTCACTGCGAGAAGCAAAGCTACAGGGAACCAGGCAGAGGGCCTTCTCAGTAGTGGCGCCCGCCCTGTGGAACGCCCTCCCATCAGATGTCAAAGAGATAAACAACTACCTGACATTTAGAAGACATCTGAAGGCTTCAGGGAAGTTTTTAATGTGTGAGATTTTTATGTATTTTTAATCTTTGTTGGAAGCTGCCCAGAGTGGCTGGGGAAACCCAGCCAGGTGGACGGGGTGCAAATAATAAATTATTATTATTGTATTATGTGTGATAGTTATTTTCCCCCTTCACAATTTTGTAATAAATGTTGTACCTTATACATTACGGTATTTGTATATTCCACCAACTGTATGCTTAGGAGCATTTCACTGTTCATTCACAATGGTTTTATCTGTATTTTTGTCCCAAGAAAGAAAGAAAGAAAGAAAGAAAGAAAGAAAGAAAGAAAGAAAGAAAGAAAGAAAGAAAGCTAGCTCATCACCAAATCATTTAATAAATAATAATAATACTGCAAGGGGCAGTTCCACAGGTGATACTTCTCTCCACACACACTTTCAGTGGGTCGAACAGGAAACTATGTGTCAACAGCTCTGTGAGCAAAAGCTGGTGGAGTTGTTCAAGGGTGGACCACCCTATCCCCCTGATCTTATGGTTCGGGGATGTGGATTGTGCTGCATCCCCTTCTGGGCAACATTCACAGCAACATGTACCCATGGTAGGAGAGGCTAGAGGCAAAAGTGGGCAGAGCAATGAATGCACAGTTTACCTTCTTACAGTAGACTAATGTCTACACACACGCGTCTCCTATCCTCCAGACAGACAAGCAAGGAGCATTATCAGAGTTGAAGGACATAGTCCAGGCAGGCTAAAGCACTTATGTGAAGCAGGGCCAGTGAGGAGGGAGATTTGGGGAGTGTGTGTGTGTGAGAGAGAGAGAGAGAGAGAGAGA